CTGACAATGATGCAATTGTCAGTCATTATAACCATTTTTCATTCAGCTGGATCAGATTAATGAAGACCATACATTGCACTTCAATGCATTAGTGTGTTGTCACATTCCACATCTTGTGACTACACAATACTTAACAGCCCAAACCCTAATACTATTAAACGTGTCACGAGTCGTGAATCACTATGACGTAGGATGAATCAAGGTCTATTAAAATCTATGGACTACATTTCTCAACTAGTGTTTAGTTACAGTAACCTAGTGTATTGTCACAATGACTGACAATGATGTAATTGTCAGTCATTGTAACTATTTTTTATTCAGCAGCACACGTTAATGGAAACCCTACATTGCACTGCAATGCACTAGTGTGTAGTCACATTCCACATCTTAAGACTACACAGTAGTTAACACCGAATCACTATGACGTAGGATGAATCAAGGTCTATTCAAATCAATGGACTACATTTCTCACTGTGCTGTCACAGTCACTGCGTACCAGCGTTTGTTCCTGCTAACATGTAATAGTGTGTAGTCACATGTACTGCACAAGTATCTTGTTACTGTTTGACTATCAACTCAAACATAAAGGTGGCTACACATTAGTGCACTGCTAACAAATGTATATATTTCAATCAATGAAAATTTCTATAAAAATATAATATAGGGTGGATCATATAACATGTTGCACATTATGTCTATTTTAAAAGCACAAGCAAGTGATACCAACCATAAGCGTGAACCAGTATAGTTATTACAAGAGTGAGATGAATATTACAAGAGTGAGAGATTTTCTGATCCAAAGGAGTATTAGGTTGGACTTCGTCGAGAGTGGACTTTTCGTGCGAATGAATCATAATCATTATGCACAGATCTGAGAGAACATGGTATACCGGTGCCACATAGACTTTCACGTACCATACCCCAAAAGAATAGAGTCAATTATGAAGCAACAGTTAAACGTATGTGAAAGGAGAATAATATGATGATGTTGCGTAAGTGCCGATATTATATGCTCCAAATAGCATCTGACATGGTGGTAACTGCATTTGGTAGGGAGTTAACATCTACTGAACAATCTAATGCATTGTCTAATGAACAATACCTATCAAATGAGTATATGTCTGATGAAAATTAAAAAATATTATTTGTGCCCACCATATTAAGCATTTACCGTTTATGTCTATGTCCTTTTTACTTTAATCAATATTGTGCATTTATGAGTTTATTCAGTGTTGTCATATCTCAACTTTTTCGTTGTCAAATCTTGTCATTGTCAAATCAGTTATCAACTTCGCAGTGTGATGTCCTATTTACTTTAATCTATCTCGTGGCTTTAACAAATCAATGCAGTGTGTTGTCATATCTCAACTTTTTCATTGGCATTTTGCATCATTGTAAATCAATTCCAAACTTTACAGATTGATGTCCTTTCACTGTAAGTTTTAATTGTCAAATCAAGCATATATATACTACTATTAACAATTGTGTAAATGCACTACCACCAAACAAAATGTATAGGAGCACATCACATGCAAATTCTTCTTCACGCAATGAACAAAATAGTTTGTCTGCGGGTAACAAACGTGAACGCTCAACGAAAAGCTCAACATCGTTGAACAAAGTTACTTCTATCGAATCATATACTGATTCTAGTGGTGTAACGTGGTATAGACGAAAGCGTGCATTCCGCAATGAGCCAATCGACCCTTATCACCCAATCGAACAAGCTGGACATGTAATTATTGGGCCTGCAACTGATTATCTACTTAAAGTTTCTCAAATCGAACTCACACCAAGATGACGATAGTTATATGACAAACGTTGTAACCTTGAAGTATTTTGTCGATGGCATGGTATTGTGGTACCAAAGGCACGTTCAGCTGATATTTACAATTCACATAATTCAAACAATCATGACGAGGTCATATCAATGCTTGAACATGAAAATGATTAAATGCAGCGTCGTCTTAATCATTTTCATGCACTCAATTATGCTAAAATAGAGCATTTTGATCCTGAATATGTCGAAATTGAAATTTTAGAGGATCTGTTACTTGTTTCTGATCCTGAGCTTTCTGATTTCTCTAATTTGGACGATGATGCGTCTGACACTTGTATCCCAACATTTTAATGTATACTCGATAATCCTTTATGTTATTTTGAATATCAACCACGTTATTGACATCTTTTTTTTTACATGTATATGTTTTGAATAACAAATAAAATTTTATTTTTAATTTATGTATGCATTTTTTTTTATGATAAAATTAAATTTTATTATATGTATACGTTTTGTCAAAATATTTACTATCAAAAGTCATACAATTAATTAAAAAAAATATGTTATCATAATTTGGATAACAAAATTTAATTTGTAATTTTGAATCTCAAAAAATAAAAATAATAAACTATAAATTAAAATTTTAGAATATTATTGACAGTAAAAAAAATAAAAAGTTTTGTACGTTCATGCATGAATACCAATATGCTTGAAAGAATGACTGATTGAAATACTTACCAACCTGTAATTTTGAGAAGACCGAGAGAAAATAATCCTTAATAACTGCGGTGACTTGGCCGAAAAATTGTTCCAATTTGACTCCATACCATTTCGCGTGCGCCGAGTACCATTACCCATGGGGGGTTATTTCTAATTGTTTAAATCAATTATGTTTTGTAGAATGACTCTTAGTTTTCCCAATAAACAAATAGCATCAGCACCTCTTCGTTTTAAAGATGGTTGTTATTGCTAACTGGTACAATGAGTTTTAATTAGGTTTTACTGGTTATTTAATGCATTTATAGTCGAAAAGGCCCAATAGAGTTGATGGAGGTGACTTATAAATGTGTTTAGCGCGCAATTTCAGGATGAACAAGTTTGTATGGGGCCATAAATTTAATTATATGTACATTTTCATTTTTTAAAGATTGATATGCTAAAAAATATAAGTATTTTTAATTTATCAAAATTTATTAATTGAATGTAATTAAATTTTTAAATAAATAAATAAAACTCATCCTCTCACCAAAAAAAAGGGAGAAAAATAGTTTTAAGTATTATTGTTAGGGAGAAAATTTTCAGTAAGACAAAAAAAATTTATGTATTTTTAAATTATCAAAATTTGTTCATTGAATGTAATTAAATTTTAAATAAATAACAAAAACTCAACAAAACAGTCTTACGTATCATTTGTTAGGGAGGATAACACCAATAGGATAAACGAAATTTATGTATTTTTAAAATCAAAATTTTATTATTAATTAATTTTTTTATTAATAAATATTTAACATTTTACTCAGAAAAAAAAGGCAAAAAACCTATCACGATATTATGGAATGATTTAATTGAAATAAAAAAATTAAAATTTTAAGGACTAAATTAAAACCAAAGAGAAAATTTAGATGATAGTTATGATAATTGCCCAAAATTTATTTGTGTATTCATCATTAGATTTGGTGCTTGGTGTGTTGTTGGAGTGCTGTCTTGGATGTCCATTTAGATGGCGTCAAACCATTTGATGCCTCTTGAATTCCCTATTTAAATGGCATCAAATGGTCTGACGTCTTGAGTTAATTGGGCCACAAATTGACTTAAAAAGGTTAAATGAACTGACGTTTTTATCATAAAAACAACCGTCCGTTTGACGTCTTTAAGTTAATCAGTTCATTTGACGTTTTTAAAATTTTTTGGGTTTGAGAATTATTTTCAAACCAGCATTTAGTTGAGAAATTTTTTTAAAAAAGCCTTGATATGGGTCAAAAGTTCCAACATTTACAGCAAACATATACATATACATATGGTCAACGAGTGGCTTAGTGGTTACGCATCACTCCTACTCGCAATTGATTGTAGGATCCAACCTCGTCCATTTCTCCTTCCCCCTACCCCCAAACAAAAGAAGAATAACCGTTGGATTCACACTATATTTTAATGTTTAATATGATTCACAGTAAATATAATAAATTATGTCACAATAACATTGCTCTTATATAAGACCGCTCTCGAAATTTCTCAATAAAAATAGCTTAAATGGTCATGCTTCTGGACTTAATTTTTGGTTCCGCCCCCAGTCACAAGTTCATCTGGTCTCTTTAGCCAACCATCCCATGGACACAGTAACTCCATTCCCTCAACTTCGAAGATTTGATATAAGATCGCCATGGTCTTGAGAACACCTAATCATCCCAAATCAAACTCTCCAGCTCATAAGAATAAAATTTATCCATTAATAGGCCCCTAATTATTATTTACATTAAGCATATATTACTATTAATGACAAACATTTTGTAACACCCAATTATCTTTAATGAGAGAATAAGAATAGCCATTTTCAAACTTCTTTCGTAACTGAAATTTTTATTTTTTTTTCAAATCTCAATTCTTTTTGTGGGTATTGGAATTTATTCTATGACATGTTCAGGAAAAAAAAAAACTATGCCAATACCACATGGTCGCCATGCTGACTGTGAACATTTGGAAGCATGCCATTTGGTTCCTCTGAATTTTGGTTGAAATTCATTGGTGAAATTTAGGCCTATAACAACAGTACGATGAGAAAAGAACGGTTAAGATTTGGACTGCTCATCGCGAGAATCCCAAGGAGGTGGCAGAACCTTAACATTACGATGAACTCTAAATTTCGAGCATTGAAGAAATTTAGGCCAACAACATTACGATGAGAAAAGAACGATTAAGATTTGATCTGTTCATCATGAAAATTCCGAGGAGGTGGTAGAATCTTAACCATTGTTTTTTCATCGTGCGACTATTGTGGGTATCAACTCAGTGTAATTCTAACCAAAATTCACAGGATCTAAACTCCTTCATCTACAATGATGGTACCTGGTATCACATTTATGATCATTGATCACATTATACTATAATCATACAAGATAATTTCTCTGTTCCTCACCCTATATATTTAAGACAAGCCAATGTATGCACCTAAGCAACCTTTGGTTCTCTCTTAGTTCAGAATAGTCGCCTAAGTTTAATATCCATGGCCAAGTCACTTCTGTCTTTCAGCATTCTCTATCTGTTTCTTCTGATCTTGTTCTTGAACTCAGGTACTTCTTCCCCACAGCTTTACCTTTTTGATAATTTGGTAATTTCTAAGATGATTCCTGTATCCATTCTCTTTTCATTCATTCATTTGGCTAGCTTTTCTTTCAGATGGAGATGGAATTTGTGTTATTTGTAGTTGGGTATTTGTATTTCTTCAAACTGTTTTCATTTTTTTTATATCCAAGAACCGTCCCAACCTTCCATTCTCTCCGTAAACTTGATATGTACAGAATCACTCATAAATTATGTGCATCTAAGTCAACCACTCTTGTGAGTCTCAAACTTGTAGTCTCGAGATATTAACACGGAGATATCTTGAAGGCTTGAATTTGTACCATATTACTTGAACTAGCTACATTCTGCTTGTTAGTTGTCAACATCTGATGGTCAATTCCTTGATTTTTCTTCCAAAAATTCAACCTTTGTTGACTGAAACACTACCCCATGTCTTTAGACATGCACTTAGCCTTAATGAAGTTATTTAGATCTGCCATGGGCTGTTTTTAGCTTATTTTTTGTATGAACTGTTGATTGTTCATGCATTTCTGATTTTTTCAATGAACTCCAATCTAATTTCTATCAAGGCTGGTTTAAATTACTCTATTCTTGATCAATCTCCTAATTTAATTCCAATTTTCATTTCAAATTCTGATCTACAATGCTATTGAGAAGTTAAAGTGATTAATTCTCTTTATTCCAGGTGAAGTTTTGAGATGTGCAAATGGGCAAGCACCTGGGCAGGTAAATTTGTCACAAATTTTCTTATCATTTTCCACCGAAAATTGAAGAAAAAATATATCAGATCAATCTTTGACATGTTTGAGAATTGNATATTTTCTTATCATTTTACACCGAAAATTGAAGAAAAAATATATCAGATCAATCTTTGACATGTTTGAGAATTGTCAATGTCAATGAATTTCAGGGTTCTTGGTGCGTTCCGAAGCCTTCAACATCTGATCAAGCACTGATGGACAACATCAACTTTGCCTGTGGTATTGTGAACTGCAGCACAATCCAAGAGGGTGGCCCCTGCTTCAACCCTTCTACTCTCATCAACCATGCCTCAGTTGCCATGAATATCTACTACCAGCAAGAGGGAAGGCATTTTTGGAACTGTGACTTCACCGAATCTGGCCTTATTGTTGTGACTGACCCAAGTAAGCAATTTTTTTCTGAATTAAAAATATTATAGTATAGAGAGAGAGAGAGAGAGAGAG